TATGTGCGAATATTAAATACCCTGTACTTATAACATTGGGTTAATATAATGTAATAAGCTAGTTTGGATTACTGGAAATACAGTGATATATTTTAAATATATATATTCAGATTACTTTCCTCTCTCTCTGTCTCTCTCTCTCTCTCTCTCTCTCTCTCTCTCTCTCTCTCTCTCTCTCCTTCTTTCTTGAGAGTGAGAACTCTCTCTATCTCTCTCTCACAGTCGTTTACTCGTTTTTCTGTAGGTCGTTTGGTTAAAAGACAACTCCAAGTTGCTCGACTTCAACAAATTGTTAACATTTTTTGAGTACTACACCCAGTCTAAACTGACTGAACGACCTGCAGATACCCTGTATACAAAGCCAGGGCTCTAGAAATAGTTTGATTCAATAAGATATGCATTTAACTTGACAAAAATGCAGTAAAATTATTCTTATACACATATACACACACATATATATTTTTGTTGAGGTTATGTGTATGTGTGTGTGTATGTGCCTGTTGTTGTTGTTGGTGTTTTTTTTAATGCGCGCGAAATTAGCAAAATAATAAAAATGGCGCAAAACAAGGTCGCGCATAAATAATGAGAAAAGAGCTGCTCCACTGCTCCACTGCTTCGCTGCTCGCTGCTCGCTGCTCGGTGCTCGCTGCTCGCTTTTGGTGGGTCGATTGGAGCACTGTTTGTGCACCTCTATGACGTTGCCGAGATGTGCTCGAATAGGGGCTTGCCACGACGAGCTGCACAGTGGCCAAGGGGTATGAGGATGGGGGGAGGGGGCGAAGCCAGTGGGGTGGGGGCGGCTGTGGGAGGCCTGTGCAAAGAGTTTTCCCTCATTGTTTGCGCGTATGTGTGTCAATTGTAGATTAGGCGTTCAGTTTGTTTTCCTTTTCTGTGTGTGTGTGTATGTCAGTGTGTGTGTGTATGTGTGTGTGTGTGGGGCCAAGTTATGCGCCAATTAACTGCCAAGGCGCCATTGTTTGTTAGACAGGGGGAGAAGAACAAAAAAACAACGAAAATAAAAATAAAAATAAAAAAAAAAACAATTTGGCCGCACAACAATGCGAATTCGTTTTGCAATGATGAGCAACAAAAAGAAGAAGAAGAAGACATGGAAGAAGAATATGTCGAGAAACTGATAAAAACAGCACAATAATGCTTGTATATGAAATATGACTCCAAGAGCTATATATAGGTATATATGTCTATGTCAAATATTTAAATCGAAACTGAGAAACTGAAATCGAAAGAGCGAGTCAGTAGGCGCAAATGGGGAAGTAGTTAGTTTACGTTAATAGTTTCTCTAATTTCAAGGGAACTCTAAAATGACTCTGTGCAAATATCGATATTTATCGATAGCAAATTCGTCATTTATGTAGCTGTTGATATCTCTTAGGTGGCTACTCTCCCATGAGTTATCGAAATGCGATTGTTGATCTTATCAGACATCTAGCTCTCATATTATAGCTATTGCTAGAAACACGAATTTTTTAAGAAATCCTTTACGTGCTGCAGCTCTTGAAGTAGGCATAACTGACATACTTTACAATCTTGTCATATAGTTGCTTTTAAGGTAAGCACAATTACAATTTATAGACGTACAAAAGCATATATGTATACCTAGTGCTCAACCATGTACAGAAATAGATAAGTGCCCAATGAGTGGACTCTATAAATAGGCGTATGAACTATGACCCTGACCCTCAGCAATAAGAATATGTAAGAGACGACGCTGAGCCTTAGCAATAGGATACGAATAATCAATAGAGCAATGCGGAATCTTACAAACTCATGAATGCATGTGCCTGGGTATAAAAACCCAAACTCAGAAGACTAAAGATCAATACTAAGCTAGACACCGTGACAGTCAAGTGTATTCACTCACCTAGAGCCTGACAGAAATGCTGCTAGTTGCAGTCAAGACTAGATGGGGATAGTTTTTAGTAGGGTTGTTGAATATTTTTAATTTGCAAAATTTGGAAGAAAATCAATATGATATTTCATATGAAACTTTAAAAATATCGATATATCAATA